ATTTGCATCCGTGTCCATCAACTCCTCCACCCTGGTTGTTTTGTCTAACTATCGGTGGGTTGGCTTGACCAAGAGTCCCACTGTAGTTCCCTCCTACTGATTGCCCATCATTCAATATGGGCTGTTCAACAGGCATCGTGGTCTCTTCCCTATGTTGTTGTAGTAATCGCCTTGTCTCCTCCATTTGGCGATCTAACATCATCTGTATCATTGCTTGTACCCCAGCCATCGTTATTGGCTCAGGTGCAGCTCCTACAACAGGTACTTGCTCAACTACTTGATGTTGAGGCTGTTGATCCCTGTTTCCGTTTGCATTTGCAGCTCCTCTACAAGTTCTGACCATCACAATCTATATAACGAATAAGGCAAATTTAGGTCTTTATCCTTGTTAGACATGTCAATTCCCTTATCACTCCAAAATAGGGATGGCAATTCTCGACACGACCCGCGACACGACACGAAATAAATGGGTTTGGGTTGAGTTTTTCAACCCGCCGATCCGCCAACCCGCCAACCCGTTTATTAAACGGGTCATATATGGGTTTCTCAAAAAATAAACGGGTTGACCCGCCAACCCGTTTATATTCTCAATAAAAAAATTTATTTTATTTTTAAATCTATTTATATATCAAGTATTAATATTTAATATGTATTATATAACATATACCATTTATTCATGAACCATTTCACTATTTTGACATTTTGACTCGTGGTGGATGGTCTAAGGTCGTAAGTCGTAACCTCTAAAGTTAAGTCTGTAACATGTTTCTATAAATATTTTTAATTTTCATTTGGATGTTTAAGACTTAAATGTCTAAAATTTGGACCCACGAACCCGCCAACCTGTGAACCCGTATAAATAAATGGGTTGGCGGGTCATATATGAGTTTATGTTCCAAACCCGCCAACCCGTGACCTGTATATTTATATGGGTCGTGTTTGGGTTGGCATATTTTGACCCACCAACTCGCCAACCCGCGACACGCCAACCCGAACATGACACAATTGCCAGGCCTACTCCAAAATGTTTACATGTTAGTTCTAATCTCGTAATCATACGCTTTGAATCCTACACACATGAGGTTTCTAGATCCGGTCGGCAATAGACCATATATCCGAACAAATAATGGCACACATGGCAAACACATAGCATTTAGCACATAAGGGCATTTTAGGCATCTTCCCTAAAATAAACTAGTGGTCGTGTCTAAAATATGGTAGACACTCATCTCACAATCATCACTTAGCATTCTAAGTTCAAGTCTAGAAATTCTACAATTTCTTAGTTCGCTTAAACTAATGCTCTGATACCAACTGTGACATCCCCTAATTTCTCGGCCAGAAAAGACCGATTTAATTTATGCTTTTTAAAATAAAATCAGAGAAATCTTTTTAAAAGATGTTGCAGAATTGGTCCCCAAACAAAATATGATAAAAGTTTATCAAAACCCTTTATTAAGAAGGTATATGTTTTCCATATATATATCAAAACCTCGGGATGTCATGTTCCGATACAGATCAAAATCATAAACACGACATTATAAGCCTTTCAACAGTTATTTACAACTACTAGCCTATAATCCAAAAATCTCTCTTCATCCTCCGACTATGCTCGGGGTCCACTACCTGTAACATAAAAAGCTGAGTGGGTCAGGCTTGAGAGCCTGGTGAGCATATAGGGTTTTCAACCCACAATAATAATAAACTTACTAAGTTCATCAATCAACAATAATCCTGATTACCCGTTCCCGTTATCCTCACTTTACGTCCCTAAACACTTATCACAAGGGACCTAGCCTAAAGAATATCATTGGGATGGACACTACTGCTAAGGGGTTTCCTCAGCCATACATGTCCTAAAGGCAACCATGAGGTGGATGGAGTACAACGAATGAGCACTCTTAGTTCATTAACACCTACAGGTTGCAGACCTGCTAATGTTTCCCACTGGACTGTCTAGAAAGTCCGTGGTCGTCATCCAAACTCCGCTAGATGACTGGATTTCAAAACACATCGAGGCCTCTCATAAATTTTATTTTATCACACATCACTATCTACCCATGTTCTACCCAACATATTTGTAGATAAAAATACTTATACAGTTTAAAACTTGTATAAAACATCAACTCAACAGTTACCTCAAATAAACAATTAATATATCTGCACATAGCACGTATTATAAGGTAAATACTTCATATCTATGTGTAAAATGAAAGTGACTATACACTTACTTGATTTGATGATAATCGGGCAACAATTCGTTTCCTAAAACGATCGTTTCTAATAAAACCGGGAGTTTTATTGAGAAACCGGGCTCTGCAAAAGTTGGGCTTCAAAACCGAAAAGATAAATTTTCCGGGCTTCTTGGGCACTTCGTAGGGTATTCCGGGCTTTACAATCGATACCGGGGCTTTGCAGGATGTTAAAATGAAGAAAATATGGGTTTAGGGGTTAAAGTTGACAAATTTTCAAAGTTACCCGAGAGGTCTCGCACCCTTCTATTTATAGGGGCGAGGCTTCTGATCCAAGGGTTGAGAAGAGGCCACGCGTCATAGATCCAAAGTTTCGCAGGGAAGGCTCGCACGAGGACTGCACGTGCGAAGGGCTCGCTGGCAGCTTCTGATTGGACTGCAGTCTATTGTTGCACATGCGAGGTTCGGAGCTAGGCTATGCGAGGCTCAGAGCTAGGGAGGTGCGAGGTTCGGTCCGGATGCGAGCTTCGGATTGGGCCTCCCTTTGGTCGAATCAGAAGAGGACACAGGGCGACACGCGGTAGTCTCGCATGCGAGGTGAATCAGCAGCTCCGATACGTGGCGCATGCGGAGCGAAGACATGTGGCTAGCATGCTGCGAGGTTGACGTGGCAGAAGCCACATATGCGAATTTTCTTGTTTTTTGTGCAAAAACTTCTAAAATCCATAATTTTCGCATACGAGCTCCGTTTTTGACATTCTTTATATGCACGCGTAGCTAAAATTACGCTCTACAACTTCCGTTTAGACTTCATCGGCTAATTTTGACTTTAAATTTTATATTATTATTTTTAACAGACCGGGACAGGAAATCCGTTAAAAATTCATAACTTCTTCATACGACGTCCGTTTTCGTCAGACTTTTTACCGTTGTGCTCCTAATGACGAGACCTTCAAATCTCGTTTAGGTTGTTTCGGCTAAAAATCGCTCGATCTAAAATTCAAGTTTTTTTGCTGTCTACTGCTAAGCTGAAACTTCGAAAAATCATAACTTCCTCATACGAAGTCAGATTTGGGCGTTCTTTTTATCGAACTTCTCGGTTTAACGAATACTACGACTTTAGTTTTGATTACTAAGGCTAAAAAATAGTTTATCGAAAACTCACTTTTTACGATATTCAGCACCGTGCCGGTTTTGTCACGAAACTTCGACAGGTCATAACTTCTTCGTTATAACTCGGATTTTGGTATTCTTTATATCCCCAAAATCCTTGTTTCGAGCACTACAAGTTTATGTAAAGATATCGGGCTTATCTCAAAGTTTAATTTTGACGCTTATTTTTATTCTTAATTAAGTAAACCCTAATAATTAAACATAAAACACATAATTCACATAATATTCACATAATTCCTTTTCATTTCTTAAAAATGAGTTACAAAGGTTAATCCAAACTATCAACTCAATATAAATGCCTTGGCTAGAAACACGAGTGTTACATGGAGTATTAAAAACACGTTGATTTACGGGGTTATCTAATGTCTTAGCGACTCTTTTACATACATAAATATGCTATTCTAGGCATGAAAAACACTATTGCATAATAGTCTTTGGAAATTTTTAACTACCTTACACTTATGGAAAAATATTGGAATTTTAGAAACAACATTCGAAACAGTCGGGTCTTAGTAGAAGACTACTTTTATACTAGTAGGAAATATGAGATTTTCTAGGAGTTTTCAAACATCTACAAACAAATTCATTTAAATTTATACAAACATTGATATTAAATACTTATGAACTCACCAACTTAAATGCTGATCTACTCTTTCAAATCTACTTGTATTTCTCAGGGATTCAGTAATACAGGTAAACTTCAGCTTTTGGAGAAGTGATGCTATGGCGTTAGTTTTAAACTCATTTTGCCATCATATTGTAATTTCTTTTTGAAACAAGTATCATTCAACAATGTAACTCTTAAATTATATATATGATGGTTGTGTTTACTTTCTTTACCATGTATTCAACTGTTATAATACTACATGAAGTCATCCACCCTCGAACGATTCCGCCGTTCTGGTTTGGGAGTGTGACATTTGGAAAGAATTTGAAAGGTATAAGGATGAAAACAGTGTTCAAAGATGCAAATGTAAGTATTGTGGTGGTGGGAATTACAAGTGCGAATCAAGTGGTTATGGGACCCAAAAACTAGGTTATCATTTAATGAAATGTAAAGCTTACTTAGATAAACTTAGTGGTGGGCAAAAACAACTAACTTTCCAATATGGTGATGAAAACAAATTGTCAACTTGGAAATTTGATCAAAATGAGAGTCGTAAGGCTCTAGCCCACATGTTGGCAGTTGATGAACTTCCTTTTAGCTTTGTAAAAGGTGCAGGCTTTAGGTTTTACAATAGTGTTACTCAACCATTGTTTAAAGTTCAATGTAGAAGTACAAGCACAACGGATGTCTACCAATTGTTTGTAAACCAAAAAGAAAAAATCCATAACTTTATTAAAAAAAGCGTTGTTAAAATATGTTTGACCACCGATATGTGAACTTCTAAACAACAATCATGTTATATATGTCTCACCGCCCACATTATTGATAACGAATGGAAGTTGAAAAAAAAAAAAAGTTTTGTGTTTTTCTTCTCAAGAGAGTCGCAGTGGGGTTGATATTGGAAAAATGGTTGAGAAATGTTTAATGGAGTGGGAAATAGAACATATTTTCACAATTTCTGTTCATAATGCAAGTGTGAATGATGTGACAATTGACTTCTTGAAAAAAAAAGCTTTCAAAACTCCAACATGTGTCTTCTAAATGGGAAATGGATGCATATTCGATGTGTTGTCCACATTTTAAATTTAGCGGTGCAAGATGGCATAAAAAAAGTTGATAAGGTGGTTGAGATAGTTCGATGGGCGGTTAAATGGATTAGGCAATCGCCTTCAAGAATTCATAAGTTTACCGAGTTTGCTAAGGTTGCTAATCCCGGTATAACAAAACACTTGAAGAGAGATGTGCCAACAAGATGGAACTCTACTTACCATATGTTGGAAATTTCACAAGCTTACAAAAAAACTTTTGAGAGATATAATCTTGAGGAATTTGATTTTCGGTACGAAATTGAAAATGAGGGTTTGTCGATACCTTCATCAAGTGATTGGGAAAGGGTTAGGAATGTATGTCATTTTTTAAAACATTTTCATGATGTTACTTTGAGGATTTCTGGGACACTTTATGTGACATCAAACACGTGCATTGAAGATATATATTTCATTCGTACGCTCTTGGATGATGCTATTTCTGATTCCAGTCGTTGTGATATTGCATTGGCCATGAAAGTAAAGTTTGATAAGTATTTTGGCGACGTAGAAAAAATGAATTTATTGCTCTACTTTTCTTTGATTCTTGATCCAAGGAAGAAAGTAAAGTATTTGGTTATACTACTTGAGGGTCATTATGGAGAAAAGGGGGTGGAGCCGAAAAAGAAATATATCATGGATTCTATGTATGAATTATATAATGATTATATTAGAATTCATTCTCCAAGTTCTACTTCAAGTACTGCCGAGTCTACCACTTCATCATCGATATTAGGAAAACGCCAAAACCCGGATTTTATGACACCTAACCCCCCATTAAGAAATAAACTAAGAGAAAAGATGAAGACGAACATAGTTGAATCAATTGGGGAGTTAGAAAAGTATTTACAAGAAAGTATTGAAGACGACTTGAAAATTTTAATATTTTAGATTGGTGGAAATTGAATAGTCCAAGATTTCCAATTCTATCATTGATGGCAAGAGATATGTTCATCATTCCTGTCTCAACAGTGGTTTCGGAATCCGTTTTTAGCACTAGTGGAAGGGTTTTGGATCCGCTTAGGAGTTCTTTGACTCCTAAGATTGTTGAAAGTTTAATTTGTACACAATATTGGATTCAGGATAGCATAAGTGATATAATCGATTATGAAAAAGATTGGGAAGAAAATCAACAAATTGACAAAGGTAATTGTTTATTATCTTAATGATTGTAAATTTAATATTTTTTCCTTCTAATACTAACATTATTTGATTTTTTTTATATAGATTTGAGCAAGATGATGTACTGAAGGTGCAAGAAGAACGAGTATATTTTTTAATGACTTTTGGAACTTAACATGTTATTATTTTCATAATATGTAATGGTTTTTTATGTTTTCTAGATTTAAGACGTGAGTTTTTTGGTAAATGTAAAATACATACATACACATCAAAATGCATTCATGTATACTTTTCTTTAACTTTCGATTTTGGTTTATTTCTAGTGTTTTAATTTACAAATCTTCCATCTAAAACAATAAGTAATAAATCTAGTATATATATTAAACTCTTTTTTATATTTTTTTATGAGATTCAACATTTAAACTAAGATTTTTAAGTATTTGTTTTTTCAACATCTTGTTAGATTATATTAAAATAGTTAATCCTTGATATTTCAAGTATTATTGACTAAAAAACATCAATGTTCAAAGTTTCAACAAGACAAATTTATTTTATTAAAGTTATTTTTAGGTGCCATTTAAAACTAAAATACGATTTCACTTCAGTTCAATTCAGTTCGATTTCTTCCCCCATTCGATTTCAAAAATACGATTTTTTTTTTTTGTAGTGAAGATCAGAGCAATGTAAAAGTGTTGGATATATTGTGGATATACAATCCCCAAACGAATTAAGGTAAACCCTAACCATTTCTGCACAATTATACTTGCTTAACTTCCGCATTGATGAACAAAAAATATATATCGAGCTTCACCCAAAATCGATGAACATATTCTATAAACAAAAAACAAAAACCTGTCGAGCGTTCAATTCTAGTTCTTCCCGAATCCAAACAACGATTTAATCGCATTCAGCGCATTCTCATTGATGAACGATTCATCGAACTTCTGCATCAACGCCTCAAACCCCTCAGATTTCCTTACATTCTCTAGATCAGGATCAGAACGAATCCGCTGCAATAGTAATAGCAAAAATTTAACTATAACTATCAATACTTGTTACAACAAGATATGACTAAAATCAATAGTTTTCAGCTTTCCGTACCTTGAAATCTTCAAATCCAGCTTTCAGAGCATCTTCTAAAGCAGAAAGTCCAGCTTGTAACTGATTAAGCTTGGAATAGCAGCATGCAACATTGTAATTTGCTACAGAAGCTTCGTTATAATCTGGTTGTGATCCTAAAACGGATTCAAACTTTTCCAATGCCTCTTCATACTTTGCACTCCTACAAGAGAAATCAGTTGTTGAGATTTTAGAGGTGTAAAAGTCGGGAGGTTTAAAAGGTGATTTACTTGTAAAGTTGTAGGCCTTCACGAAGCTCACGTTCTCGTGTTTCCTTTTGTTCCTTCTTCCTTAAGTAATTTTGCATCTGAATTCAAACACAAACAAACAATCTCTCAGTAAAAGGGAAAAAAAAAATATGATTTTGGTGAAATTGATTTGGATTTGTTAAGTGTAAAGTGTAAACTTACTTGGATTTCCCTGAGTTTGCCACTAACTATTCCGGAATTTCTCTCAGCTCTGATGATCTCTTTCTCTGTTAGCTTAGTGTCGTCGTCCATCTTTCCTGCCAAGTTTTACATATGGAACATGATTATGTTCACCTTTCGTTTTTGTTACATTCTAATAATGTTATGAAATTATATCCTTTTTTGGTCTCGTATATAACTATCTCGATTTAATTGTTGTATTATATAAACGACGTTGTAATTATAAATTCCAAACATAGAGATTAAATTTAATATATATGATTAGTTAATGTCAATTGAGTATATAACATTACATAATGTTATAAGTAATAATATGAAAGTTGAACATTTTGATGTAAAAGAATATTATAATAACAGATTTGAGTTTGTACTATTTTTTTACATCAAGATGCTGCAACAAATGGTGTAGGATTAGAACAAAATAGTACAATCAATTGTTTTTTAAGTCAAATAAATACTTATGAAATCTTTTTATCCAAATAATTAAAGAATTTATATAATTATTATTGTTTTTTATTGAACAGTTGTTTGAGAATTGAGATATGTAGGTGAACTAACCATATCTCTTTTGCATTTTCATGAGCAAAGGACCGATTCTTTGGCGAATAGTGTACATGGTTCTTCCATATTCAGCTGCAGGCCATAACTCTGTTCCAAATACTGCACTGCAACATATTTAGCATTTGATTAACACGTTTTCAATCAATTCTACACTAACGAAATGACATCGAATCCATAAATTGATATGAAATCCGGTTGTAAAATCATCAACTACATGTAAAACGAATAGAAGAAAACATGAAAAGTGAGTTACGCATTTCATCGAATACCTGGTGGCCACAACTTTATCCCCAACAGTAAACATCTTAGTCTTATCCGCATTTCCTCCAGGTGCAATTGCATCAATGTAAGTTCCACCATCTCTACCTTTCGCGAATCTCAAACCATAAGGCTGGTCAATCTCTACCTCATACTCTTCATATTTTTCCTCTTCTTCTGCTCCATTTTCCGACGATGCTCTAACGATCAAAACCGATCGTTTCTCCAAACTCGAATTCCCTAACCTGATTGAAAAAGTTAGGGTTTGGGGCTTTTTGTGCAACGTTTGCTTGAACTGGGATGTTACGAGAGATAACGTTTGTTTCGTTGGTGAGTTTGCAGTTCGTGGTAATGCCGGAGAAGAACAGAGAGATGGATAGCTGTTGGGAGCAGTTGACATGGTTGATTCAACTGAAATCTCTTTGGAATTTGGGGTCGAAAGTGATCATGGAGTAGGAGGAGGAGGTCTGGTTATTGGAAGGAGGGAAAAGAGATTACAGTCAAGTGATCAAGTGGTTCTAGTGGAGTGTTTCGTAAGTTCAGTTATCTCGTTACACGTGTCACATTGTGGGTGGTCTAAAATTTTGCCTTTTTAGGAGTAATATTTATTTTCTCACCATAAAATAAAATACACCATAATATTCTTAGAATCTTTTATCGTATATCGTTAATAACTTAATATCATATTTTCCTACTAACCCTACTAAAAGACATTCCACAAAATCCTAAAACATTTCTCTTCAAAAAGAAATTAAAGATCGGTTTACTGTTTGTATGAATAACTTATTATAAATATTTTGAGTGACGCATTTTATTGAAGTTATTTTCCATTTTTAAAGTATAAAATAACTATTTTACACCTTTGAATTTCCGTACATTTGACAGTACCGCTTATATGAGTAACTTATTATAAATAAGTTTATAAACATTGTGTTGTTGTGTCGTAGTATTAATTAAGTAATATCTTACTTAATTTGAAAACCGAAACCTATTCGATAGAGAAAAATACTCGAACTACTTACAGTTTAAGTTCCAACTCGTAAGAGTGAACATTCCTCGTATGAATCCTAATCCAGTTATATACGGCAACAAGTCAAACTTTGGGGTCTATAATGGACTCATAATCGAATTACGACAAGAAACATATACACCAGCGCTAAAAAGGAGCATCCTTAAAGTCCACACCAACGTTTTATCAACGACGTGGATTAAACAGTGTTGAAACGTCAGTGCCCAATTCGACTCATCGAACGATGGTTGTAGCTAACAATCGTTGGCGAGTTGTATACCCGTATAAATCTAAGCAACCAAGTTTATACTTGTCGTTCATCGTTCCATACAGATTAATCATTATAACATATTGGGTTTTTACTAATATTTATAGTCTTAGTTTATGAAACGAACATAGCACATATAGAAAAACTCATGTATGTTGGATCCTAACGATGTGTGTATGCATATTAGTCCTAAACTTTCAATTATAAGTTTATTATACTATTGTAACTCTTCACTGTTTAGAAAAAACGATGATCTAAGTCTTAGATTTTTAAATTCTATACAACTTGACATTTAGAAAAGTATATTAAGTTTTGTGATATAATTCAAGCAGCATGACGACTACGTTCTGGATAATTTCTAGGTTTCAATCAACATGAAACTAATAATTTTCATATAGTCAATGATTTGCATAGTTCATAAGACGCATCATCTATAATAACACAATTTATAACATGGAAATCGACATTCATAATTATATAACGAAATCCGTGATCATGTTTAAAATGACTTATATTTTTATAATAAATATAAAAATTTAAATTGTCGGTTTTAACTTCATTCTTTCATACCTTCACACACACACACACACACACACACATATATATATATATATGGAGAGAGAGAGGGGGGGTTCAATTGAGGAAAAAAAAGGTTGAGAATTGGGGAATCATTCTCAGACAATCATTTATTTTTGTCGCAAACGCCTCCAACGTACCGGTGGAAATGGGAAAGGAATGTACATGTGTTTTCCAACAAAACATGTTTCCTTAAATTATACTAAACATTACCTTAATATATACAAAAATATAGTTTTTTCATTTTTTTTAAGAAGCTAATTTTATCGAAAAATGATTTTAAATATACCAAAATTCATTATTTTTTATTCTCTACAAATAGACATCCATATTAATATAGTTTTAAAATAAAATATTTTTTTTACATATTTTCAGTTATCGTTATTCATAAGTGAATAAAAATAAATCAAGTTTTTACTACAGTACATTTGTTATTCACTTATGAATAAAAATTATGATTAATTTTTTTACAATTTAAGTATCATTCATATATGAATATGGCATATACTAAACATTGTATATTCATATTTAAATATTAGACGATGCATTCACTTGTGAATATTACATAGTATATTCATTTGTGAATGTTAGATGATATATTCACTTATGAATATTAGATGATATTTTCATATGTGAATATTATATAGTATTACATGGTATATCACATGAGAATAGTACATAGTATATTCACTTATGAATATTAGATCGTATATTCACTTATGAATAATAGTCGGTATATTCATATGTGAATATTGCACAGTATATTCATATATGAATATTACAAGGTGTTTTCAGAAATATATATAATTTTTATATGTTATTCACATATGAATAACATACAGACTTGCATATTTGTTTTGTGTTTTAATAATCACATATTGATTCAGGTGAAAAAACATATTCATACGTGAATATAACATGGTAATTTAGTTTATGCATTTCATCAAACAGTTTGAGTGCATACAAGTTAACTTTTTTAAAAATGTGATAAATATGATACTTTGACTATCTAAATCTTACAAAATAGTAGATTGGAAAAGAAATATATGAAAAGTTTCAAACAAAAAATGATATGATCTTTTTCTAACCTTAATTTCGATGTTTTATTTGATGAACGATGTTGAATGAATATGAATTGATTTTTTCTTGATTATCGATGATGTTGTTCTAATGATGTTGGGAGTATAATTAATCGTAGATTTTGAAGATATGTTTGTATTCAAGCAGAATTGAAAGTTGGATTGAAAGAGCAAAAAACGAATGAATTTCAACTGTTATCTAATTCTCTACACTTACGTATTTGTGATTAAAGGCTATTATATCATATTTACAAGTTTGCCAATGTGTCCTTTATGTTTAGAGGCTAATTAAATGAGTGGCTGAGAATGATTCCCCCATTTTCAACCTTTTTTATTTTCTCAATTGAACCCCCCCCCCCCCCCCACACACACACATATATATATATATATATATATATATATATATATATATATATATATATATATATATATATATATTTGTGTGTGTACATCATTTTAGAAGGATCATTCAATATTACATATTACACCATCTTTACATACCAATTATGCATATATACATGTATGTATAGTTAAGTTTTTTCATAAACTTTATTTATCAATTGCATGCATGTATTGATGTGAATATTTAATTCATTAGTTTTTTATTTATAATTCCAAGTTTATCGTAGCTAAACCACACCTTACATGCAGTAAACCCGATCGAGTATAGTATAGTTTTGATAAGCAAGGGTGTCGAACACAAGGGAAACGGTAGTAAATTAATTTAAAATGTTTGATTATAGGTTACACAAAACACACAAAAGTTGTAAATAAAGGTTTTATTAAATTAAATCTCAAACAAACAAATAAATAGCAAATCTCGATAAGCTGACCGAAGACAAATCTCTTTAGGTACTTTCGTTTAGACAAATTACATCTTGAAATCATAGACAATTGCACACACCGATTTATTTATTCATGTTCACCGATTTCTAAAATGATTAGGTTCATGTTCACTATTATTAATCATTTAGCAAACAAGTCAATTCAAACAGTGGCCAAATGATTAAACTAACAAGTTTTCTAGTGTTCAGTTCATATCAAGCAAGACTTGTAATCTTAGTTAATTAAATTTGTCAATTTAATCACTTATATGTGGTTTTTCATCACACATGCTCACACATTAACTTACTTGTTTTCTAATTAACCCTAGGTTCATGCTCAATAATACTAGGCATACAATCGTGTTTTCACAAAACTATATGATTCAAGCAATTAAGAATATGTTCATGCAACTCAATAAACTAGATTATTAACAGAAAATAGTTGTCATTAGCACATAAGGGTCTTTAACAAGCTTAGCAATATACATTAAACACGAATAAAACAATCCAAATAGCAATTAATCCATAAATCAAGGTTTCATATAATCATAAACACAAAGCAAAGGGTTTTAACGCCCAAATCAGAAAGTAACACATAGTGTCATCACAACGGAATGCTAAACATGGTCATGATAACAACCATATGATTACCGACACGAATTCGCTCTCTAATCTCTTAGATATTTGCTCCTGTCAGCTTAACGGCCTCCCGACCGCCTTCTAGACCCTCAAAACGGCCAAATATAAGTTACTTGTCGACTAAGGATCAATGGTAGTCGAGTCATCCCTTCTGTTGGATGAAAATTGCTTTTCATAAAGATTGGAACTGACTTACGTACGTTGGTACGCAGGGCGTACCAAGAAACTCATCGCAATTAGGAATTTCGAACACCTGCCCAGTACGTGGGGGTAAGTCTATCTACGTGAGGCATAGTCTTCATCTCCTCAGTGCGCTTGGCGTAAGCCCCACTACGTCGGGCGTAGTGGGTTGCCTTCAGCCATTTTCATCATTTTTACCTTTTAAGCCCAACTTCCATCTTCCTTTATACCTTTTTGGCTCTAGCAACACTATTCCTATAAAATATAAATTTAAACGTTATAAGTACCTTTTAGTTCTAAATAAGAATAATAAAGGCTAATATATATATATATATATATATATATATATATATATATATATACATATCAAAATACCCCACACTTAGCCTTTTCTTGCCCCCAAGCAAACTTACTTTTTATTTACCAATATATAAAACAATCCATTTTAAACTCAGTCATTATCCCAAGACCGCAATACATGTATTTGTGTCTATAATTCCTAAAACTTATCACTCCTAAATACTCACAATCCTTATAAACATTCACCCATTGGTTTATATAAAACTCATTTTTGCAACCCTTCGAATCAATCCTCAGAAATCTTTCTTACCCTCAAGGTATTTTTGGCTAAACAACCAAGCACACATAAATTCTAGAAAAAATATAACTTTGATACCACAATGGAGCTTTTGGAATTATCCACTTCTTTGAATATTTTATCTTTGATTTCTTTGAATTCACCACCTTCTTTGTTAGATTTTTGGTATCTTTAACTTTTGAATTTCTTTCGAAATTTGATCTTTTGATCTTCATAATTTGATAGCTCTGAAATTCTTTCAACTTTTTTGTAATTTCTCTCTTTCTCATTTTTTTTAACATGTATCTCACTTTTCTTTTTCACTCAAATCCTACGTGCTTAAGCAAAGAGCTTGACTTTAACAATTATTGGTTAAGGTATTAGTCTAAGTGCAATGACGACATAAGCTCTCCTGGATTGATTTTAGGTTTAGGCTGCAGAACATATTATGCCATATAAACTACCAA